TGAGAAAAAAACAGGGATTCTATTTAACAGAAAACGTTATGAGTTAGCAATGAAAATAAATAAGAAGACGATCTATTGTTGAAGTTGGGGACGACTTGACTTGTCTTGACTTGGCAAGTAGCTGTAGAGTTTGCAGTGGAAAGGCTTGCAGTAAAAAGAGCTTGAATGGATGTCGAAGATGTGTTGGGCTATCTGATGTTTAGGGTTCAAGTGCACAGTCTTTCCTTCCCCTCGACTAAATCAGGTTTCGGAACGGAATTCACGTGGCTCTGGTCCAGGCCACCCACTGTCCAGCAAGGTACGCATGTATGGTTCAATAGGCTTACACTGGTAATGTTTTTGCCTAGAGCAGGACAGGGACGAATTTGTAAGTATGGCAGGTTCGATGGAAGGAGAAATCACAGAGAGACAACAGAACAGTCTCTGTTCAGTCCAGTAGCCAAGTGAAGTGGAAGGTCACTGGCTGGGGAAGTTATCACCTCCTCTCAAGGACTCTTGTGGCTGGTTGCAAGATCTGCTACCAACTGCCCACACGCACTGTCAAGCAACCCACACAAATTGTGTGACCTAATTCTGGGGGAGTTAGGATTTCAAAAAGTAGGGGAACAAAATCAATTCTTTTACATAATTATTAGGAAGATCAAAATTAGAGCAGGGAAAGTTAAAACAACGATGTGACTCATGTTATTTATTTCCTGGACACAAGGTTGATAGTTGGTCGTGACGCTCTTTCTAATTACATTTGACTAAAAAACAAACAAACTTTTTCTTCAACAACTCACTCTTAACGAAAACACAAAGTTAGAAAGTAACCATGAAAAGGAATAATAAGAGAAACAAGGCCTGCTACCTATTCGCTCTTTATACGCTACCCATATACGCTATATTGCTACACGCCGCGGCCCCTTACCTTTCTCTCGCCTCGCGTCTTGCACTGTGTAGCATTAGTGTGCACTTGAAGGTTTGGTTCTTAGACCATTCGATTGGCTGTGTTTATATCCTGTAGCATATCACCTGACTAAACATTCTGTGTAGCATGTAGCACTGCCCATGGAGGAAGGAACACCGGTTCTGTCTTCTTCGGTCTCATTTCTGGCTGGGTATGTCACTAAACGATCAAGACTTTGCAGCAGACATTTTGATAAAGATGACATAGACATGTATGGAAATGTTAAGTGTGACCCGAAATACTTTGAATGGAATAATTGGGACAGCCAACCAAAAAAAAGAACCACATGTGCGCTGCAGAAACAGGACCAGGGACTCCATGACACATCAGGCACGCGTACGTCAGGCGACCATGAAGTAGCCCCATGTCTGGATCACGATTTACAATTCCAAGAGAAAGTTAGTACTTCGTCAAGAATTACCAGACCCGACATGCCTGACATTGGATGTAAGTGTCCTTTTGAAATTGTTTAAACATGTAATAGGCCTATTCCTAAACATGCTAAAAGCTAAAACAGAGCATTCCCTTGATCTTGTTTAAAGTTGGACATTAACATGTCATTGTTATGATTGTGTAGTGTGAGTAAGTCGTGAAAGTTGGACCCTACAAAACTGCCTTTTTTAATATGAGATAATAAATATAGGCATTTTTGCCGTTAACGGCTCTAATAATCCCTAACCAGGCAAGTGCTATTTTTTTTCAAATTCAAAGCAGCAATGGAGCCCCTTTGCTGTATCGAGATTCCACAACCCATGGATCATGACTACCTCCACACCTCATTGCCAACTATGATTGACAGATGCGTGCAGACGGTTATGACGATGGAGGACCTAGATGAGCTTGAACATCAAGCCAAGTCTATACATGAACATCAACCGCTCCCAGGGCAAGATGTTGTAGACTGTGCAACTGAGTCTGATGAGAGGGTCAACTTTTACACTGGATTGACGTCCAAAAGCCTTCTTCAAGGTACCATGTCCCTGGTTATCGTTTCATTTTTTTCTCCATAAAAATATTCTGAGGAACCCATGTCATACACATTGGTAAGCCGAGTTCATTATGTACTGAAAAATCATGTCATAAAAGCCATGTCTGGAGAACAGGATTTTGAGTCCTGAATATGGTGCCAAATTTGCTATATTTGAAAGATTTTGTTAATATGATGGAAATCCTGTGTTTAATCACTGGTCAAGCCTTTTTATAGTGAATTTCTTTTGGAGTAATGATTCCATTCACAGAGTTTGTTGTATTTCGCCTTTCATATATAGGTGTTTATGACTCAATAAGTGGTGGTGTTAATCGCCTGCGGTATTGGAGGAGTACCAGTACGAAGATGGGGACACCAGACAATGAACAAGGTTGGAAACGACGCCCGGGCAGACAACACCAGCTTCCACCGTTTGTCCAGTTTGTCATGACCCTCATTAGATTGCGGCTCAACTTACCACTTCTCCTTCTGGCTGACCTGTTCCATGTAAGTAGTTGAACAGTTACACGAATCACCATCACATGGATTTCCTACATGCATCAAACTCTGGTACCAGCACTTCTTGTGTGGCCATCTCAAGCTCACATCAGAGGATGGATGCCGTTGGACTTTAAGGCAGCATTTTCAAACACACACGTAATAATGACTGCTCTGAGTTCTTTATAGATCGACTGCAAAATAAAGATGAACAGTATAAAACATACTCACAGTTTAAAAGCCATAGCGCATATAAGATTTTATTTGGAGTATCACCTTTTGGTGCATTTACATTTGTGTCAGATTTGCGGTCAGGAAATGTATCAGACAAGTACTTGACTGAGCAGAGTGGACTGATTGAAAAACTCAGTGACGGTGATGCAGTCATGGCTGATCGAGGCTTCCACATAGAGGACTCGCTTCTGAAAGTAAATGCAACACTCATAGCACCACCATTCACTAGAAGATGGCATAATGGAAAAGGAAAGAGACTTAATGTGAAGGAGATCAGACGAACAAGACAAATTTCCCGTCTTCGGATTCATGTACAGAGAGCAATTCAACGCCTCAAATGCTGGCGGATCCTGAAGCACCAAATCCCAGAATCCCTACAATACACTGCTTCTATGATAGTTAAACTTGTTGCAGCATTCTGTAATTTGACGGGACCATTGTTCTATTCTAAAAATGAGAAATATCCAAAAAAAAAAGTAAGTCTGAAAAAGCCAGTGAAGCGTTTGACCTACTGATATATATTTTGTAGCCTGTTCAATGAAATGAACGTCAAGCTCAGTTTGACCAAAGGCAGTCAGTAATGTGACCATCACCACGTCATGAACATAATAGATTATAAATGAATATTCTAGGAAGGATATGCATCACCATATGATGCATGTCTGTTCAGTGAAGAATATCATGAAAAAACCTAGGATGTGATCCTATTTTACATATCAGTTTGGAAAGAGGAGAAAAATGAGACTGCGCATAAGTAAAAAATGAGTCTTAGGAATAATTGTTTAGATTTATTCAGATTTTTGGGGTCGTATCTGTTAATTCATTGGGCACTTTTCAACAAGGTTAATTATTTGAATTAGGTTGTTCAAACGATTATTCAAGAACTTGTTATTTGGAGAGGATTGTTTTATTTCCAAATTGGGTGAATGTAGGTGGACCATTATTAAAACAAGTTTCTTGATTTTGTTAAATTCAGCAGGCACAAGAATTCCAAAGTTTAAACCCAAGTATAAGATTGTGGAGATTTATTTATATGTCCCACAGAAATTCATGAAAAATATGAAATAATAAAACAATGGCTTCTCACACAGGTCATTTCTTTGTTTACATATTAATTTATGCGGTAGTAAGTTAAGAATACACATTGATGTTCAAGAAATATTGATGCACTTCTGTTCTCTGTTTTCCAGTCAAGCCACAAACCTTGTGGTTTCATCATACTAATAAGCATGTATTTAGGTCCTTTCATAAATAATTTCAGCCATGACGGAGTCAAAATAAAATAAAAAAAAAAGACAACCATGCAATTACTGGCCTAAAATGCTGATGCCAAGCCTGGAATTCTGCTTGTAACATGCATGTATATACTTTATTCTTCACTGCATGTAAAACCATGAGTGAACACAAGTTCTGCTTTCTTTTTCAAGAGTTCCCACATCTGTGAATCAAACATTACAGGGATGGATGTTATTCCTTTATGAGTATATACAACTAAGTCACACTGGTTCATGCGTGAACCGTGTATTCCGTGTTGGAATAGCTTTCACAGGAATGCCTCTATGCTTATATGAACACTTGATCTCAACAAGCTTCTCTCCATGGCAGGAACAGCTTGCAACACCATCTGGTGAGGCACCCATAAATAGCAAGTCGTTATTTAACACAAGACCACAGGTGTTTACCTCGAAGTTCTTGTGTGCTTTCAGTTCATTTACAATGTAAAGTTGCCTGGCTACATGTTCATTTTCTTTTCCAAAATCTATAGCACATGACTTAAATGGCTTGTCCTGGCCCAAAATTTTATCAACTAAGGTGCGGCAGTTATGAACGTCTTTCAAAGATCGAATGGAATCTGCCACACTTGCAGTTATTTGCCCCCTTCTTGCTGCAAACCATGCTGGGTCTGATTGATCCAAACTTCTTAGGGCATCTACTTGTTGTATGGAAGTGTTCTGTCTGAGGTATGCAATGAAGGACACATCATCATTTGATTCAGCCTTGTACATGGTGTGAAGGTCAGACACTGACGGCACGAGAGATGTCAAAGGTGCTGGCGGCTCTTCAACCAGTTTCAGGTAAAGTGCATCTGGGCTGCTTTCTGCACCAACCTGAAGATAATGAAAGTTGAAAAATTCCATAAATTTTACAAGTTTTTCTATTTTTGAGACATGGATCATACATGTATTTTCCTTTTTGAATTTCATGAGTAGCTTCAATGCACACACATGCACACCCATACTGCATGGGCAGACAAGAGGTGTGCAAATAAACAGTTCCTGTACATGCAAAAATTTACATGTACTGTATGTACATGTATCTCTCTTTTTATCACTGGCATCACCTTTGTAACCAAGTATCACCCCTACAATAAATTACTTCTGGAACTCATAACAACTTGTATGAAATGTTTCCATCATAAATAACTTTTGACTAAGCAATGTAGCGGGTATGTCTCGGAGGTGAAACCCCCTAGGGTGTATGCAAAATCATATAGAAATCAGGGGATTTGGGAAGTCCTGTTGAGTTAAATAATGATCTGCATCAACCGTGACTCGCCTTTTTCAAGTGCCCCTGAACGTTCTCAATCCATGCACTGGATACATTACCCAGTGGCATGTAATTCTCAGGAAGTGGGCCAGGTTTTCTGAGAGTCTGTTTTTCTGCACGGAAGTCCAGCTCCTCTACTCTCACTGGCCTGGAGGCTCTTCGAGGTTTCGTCCGTGAGCAAGGCTCATCTGTGCCAACAGCTGTCCCCTTGTCAGTGTTTCTTTTGATGTAGTCTGACAATGCAAAAAGTACAGCAATTGCATGCTTGCAGGTACCTTCATCACTGCAAGAAATAAAAACAGAGCGCTTGAAGCTAACAATTTTTCGTGTTCAGAATCACAGACAATAATATACTGCATCGTCAAAAGTTTGGTACGGAGAGGTCATTTGCAAATATACATGTATGGTCAACATACTCAAACCATTCAAATTCAGGAAATGCTGCAAAGCAATATACTGCTTGTGGAATTGCTTGTCTCACACTTAAAGTTTTGGTTAACAACTTCCTGAAAAAATTCCAATCCTCATCCAATACAAAGCAAACATTTAGGAGTTTAGAGTTGGAAATGTACAATGCTCAAACCAAGTACCAATGGGTTTCATGGGGTTTAAAAAGATAAAAGAGTTTTCATATGTTGTGAAATTTCAGGTTAAACAGTGATAATAAAAACAGTCTAAACAAGCCTAGCTTACAACTTCAATTCCTAAATGCAG